AGCAGCACAATCCAAAATAGGATGGCATCTGCTAGTGTTGCCTCGTGTGTGAGGGTGCAAAACAGATGACAGAGTACTTATAAGTCAGACCATGTGAACGTTGACTGAGTTACTGACTTGAGGTATCTGTTTTAACCAGAGCTACATGTTCAGTTTTACTATGTAGGAGATGCAGGGGTACAGTGTAGCAAGTGAATATAAAATATCTTCCTGAGACAGTAAGTGTTTGAAGAAGCCTTTACATATTTTAAAATTGGATTTGCTTTTGTTTCGACGTAAATTCTTCTTGGAAGAGCATTGCTTCACAATAGATGTAAAACTGCACACATAATTTAATGAAACAGTGTTGAATGTTTTTTTCTGCTAAGATGTAGAAGATCAAAGAGAACTAAACTTTTTAAATTGAAAAAAAATTGAGGATGATCCCATTCACATTTAAGAAAAAATGTTCCTTTAAAAAGTTAATATATTCCTTGTTGCAGTCCGTGCAGTTGCCTAAGTTCACTAAATGCAAGACACAGAACTACTTTTAAATGTGTCCTTAAAGATATTCTAGCTCCAGTTTTATCTTGTGCATGGAAATTTCAGTGTGTATATTTTTTAATCAGGTTTATATTCCTCTTAATGACTTAAGAAATTCCTTTAGTGTTGTAATGAAACTTGGTTTATGAATGTATTAAAATACTGTAAAAGAAAATGCTTCACTTGTCCTTTTATTTAAAACACAGATGTCGCTTTGCTTGTGTTATTTTATAATGTTTGACCAAATACAAAGTTATAAAGCTGGCCTTGTGCTTCATACTTTGTAGTGTGGAGTATAATACATTTTTTCATCAAGTCTTTTAGCCTCTGGTTTTGCACAGGAGTTTACATAAAAGTATTGGAATTGTTAAGGTCATTTAGCCAAAAATACCTTTTGATATTAATCCTCAGTGGACATTATTTTTACCGTTGGTGGGTAAACTGACAACATTCCAACGTTATTCAAAGTTAGTGTTTGATCAACATCTGACTTTTGTCTTTCTCTGGTGATGAAAAATCATTCTTACTTTAGAAAACAAAAGAAAGCTGATTTTAAAAGATCTCTTCTCTGTTGAGTAAACATAATGAGGAAAAATCTGTCCTTTATGGATAAGTGACTAACTTGTTCTAAAGTTATATTTCAAGAAAGTGAAACAAAACCATTGAACGGTATTACATTTTAAAGATATTTATTGAAATAGTACATTATATGATGACATTTTATAGCTAGTTCATATTATATGAACCGCATTATAATGTTCCACAATGGAGGGTCTCTATTACTCAGCACTGTCAGACTAGAAAAAAAGAAGAAAAAAAGAATCAGTATAAGATGCAAACATTAAGGTAGACAGTTTTCTCTCAGAAAGAAAGCAGGATAAAATATTTATCAAATAAAAATAGCTCTGCAAATATTCATTAAATTCCAAAGTCGATATAGTCAAAGAGCTTGTGCTTATGGTATCATTTTTTTGAGATGTGATCTCACCTTTCCAGTTTCACGGCTCTTGGCTCTGAGCTTGTTGACCTGAGACTCAGCGATGTCAGCACGCTCCTGGGCCTCCTCCATTTCATGCTGGACCTTCCTGAGCCTGGACATGTGGGTGTTGGCTTGTTCCTCCTGAAAGTTTTGAGATACCAATTATTTTAGTTTACACAAAATGCCAAATTAAAGCTTGGTAATGTGCTAACTTAAAGGGGGCATTGTTTGGTGGCAGACANGAGACACACCTGGGGAGCAATCAACGGGGAGGACAGGACAGAGACTCACAGGGAAACAGGAAAACATCGAAAACTCAAAACGCACAGAAAACCACGGATCATGACAAATGCCTTGATCTTCTTGAAGGGGACAGAGGTCTCGTTGGCAAAGCGAGGCACCCTCCTTGAATAATGGTAGGGGAAACACTGGTGTTTGTCCCAGTGCATGTTGTCATAAGACATTGACTTAGCATTTTCTCTTTGGTACAAGGACAATAGCAGGTGGTGTTGGGATTGAGAATTTAGTTTCTTGTGGGTGTTACCTACACACTCAATTCTGCAGGTGAACTGACAAATCAAATTACTTACAGATATGACACAATTGAACAGAATCTAACTCTTTAAATAATAAAGAGTTATTATTTAAGAGACATTGTTACGTCAATGGCTTTTGATGTAAGAAGAACCATTGTTACATCAAAGACATAAATGGCCAAACCCTAATTTTCTTATTGGCGCTATGTTTAAAAACTTTGGTGTTAAAATGAGCTTGAAGGTCCTCTCTGTAATGTGATGCAAATGAAATGACACACATTGTTAAATCCTTTTAAGTCACAGAAGTGCAGGTGGTCCTGAATGTGCCCTTCTCAGCAGGTTTCTAAAAATAGCAGTGGGTTCTGTTTTAATGACTGATTACAGCTGATCCCTATGCAGGGACTGCCTGGTCAAGGGTTAATGGCTCCATTTGCTTTCACGCTTTTGCTGATGAGCACACTAAGTCCACTGTTTGAATCCATACAGATCATAATAGAACCATCAACCTCTGTAAAGTCAATAAAAAAGTATATAAATTCTCATGTTTAAAATTTAGACCTCTGTTGAAGAAAACATGTGGACAAGTACAGTAAAATTTAAATAATCAAACATAGGAGAAAACAGTATTCCCCAGTTGTTGAATCATATACTGAAATGTGCAATCTTGGCCAAAAGCAGATTGTGACTATGTTTAGAGTTTTCCAATTACACTCAAGAACTTTCCTAATTGTTGACATGAATAAGTGATGTGATGGTTATCATTGTATTAATCTTTTTGAGATATAGCAGGGATCACTGACTATTTAATAATATTAAATACGATATACATTAGTCTTGTGTCAACTTGAACTTTCCCTTCGTATAGCTTCAGATGTATTTTTAAAGGCTTTTTTGTAGGAACCTGTCTATGCATGTGTGGACTGATTTATGATGAACTAGATAAAGCATTTTGAGAGATGATATACTTAGAAATGTCAAGTCCTTTAAATAGATATGTTGGTATGCCAATATATCGACAGGTACTTTACCAGCTCCTAAAAAGATACCATCTCTAAAGAATAGTTTTGTTTTAATAACTGATTTCATATTGTTATGTGTATGTTTCACCCAAGCTCGCAACTTCAAACATTTAAATGTATAATGCAAGTTTAAAACAGAGGTAGTGTTTTCCAGTGATCATTTACATGTAAAAGTAAATTTGGGTTAGAATATCAAAACCACATGTGATTGATTCATCTTTCTCTTTATGAGATTTTTTAATGTGCACAATTTTTTTTTCTTACTTTGTGGTTGTGATATATATTTTCACAGGTTAAAAGGATAAAAAAAGATAACTCAAACTACTACCTACAAATAAAGTTTAGGACACTCTAAAATTTGAGTTATTTAAGGAATCATCACATACTGTATTTTAGCAAAGAGTACAATTCAACATTGCACATGTTTATTACATTTAAGGTTGCCTTACTATTATTAACATTAGCAATGCAAAGTTTTAGATCTTAAATATATATAAGCTAAGTAGTACATTGAATTTTTATCTTAATTACTTTCAGTTTATGGTTAGCTAGTCACAAAATTAGAAACACATCCATCACTAAATCTCTGCCCAACATGGGAAAGAGGGGTGCTGTGGGGGAGATATCATATTTTATGGGCCGCCTGTCCAATTTATGTGATGACTGCTCACATTTTCAGATGGGGGTATAAGCTAGAGCAGCACAAACCAAAATAGGACGGCATCTGCTAGTGTTGCCTCGTGTGTCAGGGTGCAAAACAGATGACAGAGGCATTTTGAGTACTTATAAGTCAGACCATGTGAACGTTGACTGAGTTACTGACTTGAGGTATCTGTTTTAACCAGAGCTACATGTTCAGTTTTACTATGTAGGAGATGCAGGGGTACAGTGTAGCAAGTGAATATAAAATATCTTCCTGAGACAGTAAGTGTTTGAAGAAGCCTTTACATATTTTAAAATTGGATTTGCTTTTGTTTCGACGTAAATTCTTCTTGGAAGAGCATTGCTTCACAATAGATGTAAAACTGCACACATAATTTAATGAAACAGTGTTGAATGTTTTTTTCTGCTAAGATGTAGAAGATCAAAGAGAACTAAACTTTTTAAATTGAAAAAAAATTGAGGATGATCCCATTCACATTTAAGAAAAAATGTTCCTTTAAAAAGTTAATATATTCCTTGTTGCAGTCCGTGCAGTTGCCTAAGTTCACTAAATGCAAGACACAGAACTACTTTTAAATGTGTCCTTAAAGATATTCTAGCTCCAGTTTTATCTTGTGCATGGCAGTTTCAGAGTATGTTTATTTGTTAATCAGGTTTATATTCCTCTTGAAATGATCATTTTATAGCTTGCTCAAAAATCAAGGTTGCCATAATGCATGACTTAAGAAATTCCTTTAGTGTTGTAATGAAACTTGGTTTATGAATGTATTAAAATACTGTAAAAGAAAATGCTTCACTTGTCCTTTTATTTAAAACACAGATGTCGCTTTGCTTGTGTTATTTTATAATGTTTGACCAAATACAAAGTTATAAAGCTGGCCTTGTGCTTCATACTTTGTAGTGTGGAGTATAATACATTTTTTCATCAAGTCTTTTAGCCTCTGGTTTTGCACAGGAGTTTACATAAAAGTATTGGAATTGTTAAGGTCATTTAGCCAAAAATACCTTTTGAAATTAATCCTCAGTGGACATTATTTTTACCGTTGGTGGGTAAACTGACACCATTCCAACGTTATTCAAAGTTAGTGTTTGATCAAAATCTGACTTTTGTCTTTCTCTGGTGATAAACAATCATTCTTACTTTAGAAAACAAAAGAAAGCTGGTTTTAAAAGATCTCTTCTCTGTTGAGTAAACATAATGAGGAAAAATCTGTCCTTTATGGATAAGTGACTAACTCGTTCTAAAGTTATATTTCAAGAAAGTGAAACAAAACCATTGAATGGTATTACATTTTAAAGATATTTATTGAAATAGTACATTATATGATGACATTTTATAGCTAGTTCATATTATATGAACCGCATTATAATGTTCCACAATGGAGAGTGTCTCTTACTCGGCGCTGTCAGACTAGAAAAAAGAAGAAAGAAAATGAATCAGTATAAGATGCAAACATTAAGGTAGGCAGTTTTCTCTCAGAAAACAAAACAAAATATTTGTCAAATAAAAATAGTTCTGCAAATATTCATTAAATTACAAAGTGTATGATAAAACGATATAGTCAAAGAGCTTGTGTTGATGGTATCATTTTTTTGAGATGTGATCTCACCTTTCCAGTATCACGGCTCTTGGCTCTGAGCTTGTTGACCTGAGACTCAGCGATGTCAGCACGCTCCTGGGCCTCCTCCATCTCATGCTGGACCTTCCTGAGCCTGGACATGTGGGTGTTGGCTTGTTCCTCCTGAAGGTTTTGAGATACCAATTATTTTAGTTTACACAAAATGCCAAATTAAAGCTTGGTAATGTGCTAACTTAAAGGGGGCATTGTTTGGTGGCAGACAATCAGTCATTTCACTTACCGCCTCCTCAGCCTGTCTCTTGTAGGCCTTCACTTTGAGCTGCAATTTGTCCACCAAATCCTGAAGTCTTGCAAGATTCTTTTTGTCCTCCTCGGTCTACATAGATGAACAAAAGATTTGTCAAGACTTATTCCAAATAACACAACAATTAATACAGAGTTAAATAATATTATTTTTTTTGGTTTTAGAGGTACTTAATAAGTGCTTAGAAAACACAGAATAAAATAATCACCTGGTAGGTCAGCTCCTTAACTCTCCTCTCATATTTGCGGACTCCTTTAACAGCATCGGCTCCACGTCTCTGCTCACCTTCAACTTCAGTCTCCAATTCTCGGACCTGTTTAAAAGGAAACAATTTAATATCACTACAAATTATTTACACCACATGAATTTACAGAAAGTTCATACCCTCTGCTCCAGTTTCTGGAGCTGTTTCTTGCCACCCTTCATGGCGAGGTTCTCAGCCTCATCCAGGCGGTGCTGCAGGTCCTTGACTGTAACCTCGAGGTTCTTCTTCATCCTCTCCAGGTGACCACTGGTGTCCTGCTCCTTCTTCAGCTCTTCAGCCATCATGGCAGCCTGAAGAAATGGTTTGTCACCAGTTTTGGGTTAAAACCAGTTAATANAAACTTATTCCAAACAAATGGCTTATTCTGTTTAGACACCTATTCAGGAGTCTTTGTGAATTTTGGAGATTCGCATTTGAGTAGCTTGGAGGCCCATTTTTTAAGTACATAGAGGCTCATCTTCCTTGTAGCATATTGAGTAAATCAATGACTTGGTCGTCCCTCACCTGGCTCCATTGGGTCTCTTGCTTGGTGTATGTTGTGTGCTTGGACACCTGGTTGTGATGGGCTTCATTAAAAACTTAGTGAAATTCTGGCTGGTTGTTGTAGCTTGGGTTATATTGTTAAAATTTAGACACAGTTGTGTTTTCCACCAGGATAATTATTCCATGTCTGTTGGGTTCTGCAGGGGAGTGTTTTTCTCTACATTTTCAGGGTGGCAGGCTGATGGGATCTAGCTGGTGCTCGTCATCTCCAATCAACAATGGCCTTAAATAGGAGCGGCTTCCCAGAAGACGATGCCAGATGGTTCCGCTTCTACAGTGGTACACTCTAGCTCTCAGTGCTGTCTCAAGTGTCTAACTTGTTCCTGACGCCTCTTCCATCTTTCTTCCTCCTAGAACCAGCCCCGACCTCTCTCTGAGAATCAGATCCACCTGGACTACCTGGCCCTCGCTGTTCAGCTTGGCCGAGCCCCTGGATTCCTCCACCACCACCACCACCCTGCTGCTGCCTGTCCACCCTCAGTTACCTGCTGGAACTTCCCCACCTGGAGACCCCTCGCTGCCCCAACTGCTGTACCCTCCTCTGCTCACCTGAACCCCCAATCCGTAAGCCCTCATCAGGTTACATCATCATTCCTGTCATTATTCCTCTGTCTAACTGCTCACCCATTTCTCAGTTCCTCCTCTGGCCCGTTTCCTCCCTGCTGCAGCTGACCTACACCTCTCCATCGTTTTCCCATTACACCTTCTTGTCCAATAAATCTGTAAACTGAGTTTGCTGTCCGTAGTTGTTGCTTGCCTTCGAGTCCTGGTACCTCTCATTATGACAATGTCTTGCTTGAATAATTTGGTAACACTTTGACGGGTTGTGACCCTGTCATAAACACTTTATATGTTATATAAATATGTTATATTTATAACACTTGTCATAAATATAAGTAAGTCAACTCTGCCTTTCATCTGCCAGAGAAGACATTTGATATGACACTGTTTGATGCATTGTGGCGCTACAAAAAAACCAAAAACTTTTATCACGTTTCAGCGAAGACACAGAGCCTGGGGTCACTGGTGTATTAAAAAAATCTATCCATCCATTATCATACACACTTATTCCTAGTGGGGTGACAAGGGGTCCTGGTGCCTATCTCCAGCGGGTGAGAGGTGTCCATTGATGTGCCAGTCCATTAACATGACAGTTATGTTTTTGGACTGTGGGAGGAAGCCGGAATACCTGGAGAGAAACCATGCATACAGGGAAAACATGCAAACTCCATGAAGAAAAAGACCCTGGGCTGGGATTCGAACCCAAGATCTTTTTGGTACGAGACAACAATGCTACCAACTGCACCACTGCGCAGATAAAAACAATTTATTCAAATATTTTTAAAAAATAAAAACAACAACTCTTAGCCTGGGGAGGAGGAAGTAAAGCCTGGTAAGCCAGGCTTTATTTTACTTGTGCGCATGTTGTCATAAGACATTGACTTAGCATTTTTTCTTTGGTACAAGGACAATAGCACATGGCTTTGGGATTGAGAATTTAATTTCTGAGAAAGAGGGGTGCTGTGTGGAAGATATCATATTTTATAGGTCGCCTGTCTAATTTATTTGATGACTGCTCACAGTTTCAGACGGGGGTATAAGCTAGAGCAGCACAATCCAAAATAGGACGGCATCTGCTAGTGTTGCCTCGTGTGTGAGGGTGCAAAACAGATGACAGAGGCATTTTGAGTACTTATAAGTCAGACCATGTGAACGTTGACTGAGTTACTGACTTGAGGCATCTGTTTTAACCATAGCTACATGTTCAGTTTTACTATGTAGTAGATGCAGGGGTACAGTATAGCAAGTGAATATAAAATATCTTCCTGAGACAGTAAGTGTTTGAAGAAGCCTTTACATATTTTAAAATTGGATTTGCTTTTGTTTCGACGTAAATTCTTCTTGGAAGAGCATTGCTTCACAATAGATGTAAAACTGCACACATAATTTAATGAAACAGTGTTGAATGTCTTTTTCTGCTAAGATGTAGAAGATCAAAGAGAACTAAACTTTTTAAATTGAAAAAAAATTGAGGATGATCCCATTCACATTTAAGAAAAAATGTTCCTTTAAAAAGTTAATATATTCCTTGTTGCAGTCAGTGCAGTTGCCTAAGTTCACTAAATGCAAGACACAGAACTACTTTTAAATATGTCCTTAAAGATATTCTAGCTCCAGTTTTATCTTGTGCATGGCAATTTCAGTGTGTATATTTTTTAATCAGGTTTATATTCCTCTTAAAATGATAATTTTATAGCTTGCTCGAAAATCAAGGTTTCCATAATGCATGACTTAAGAAATTCCTTTAGTGTTGTAATGAAACTTGGTTTATGAATGTATTAAAATACTGTAAAAGAAAATGCTTCACCTGTCCTTTTATTTAAAACACAGATGTCGCTTTGCTTGTGTTATTTTATAATATTTGACCAAATACAAAGTTATAAAGCTGGCCTTGTGCTTTCTACTTTGTAATGTGGAGTATAATACATTTTTTCATCAAGTCTTTTAGCCTCTGGTTTTGCACAGGGGTTTACATAAAAGTATTGGAATTGTTAAGGTCATTTAGCCAAAAATACCTTTTGATATTAATCCTCAGTGGACATTATTTTTACCGTTGGTGGGTAAACTGACACCATTCCAACGTTATTCAAAGTTAGTGTTTGATCAAAATCTGACTTTTGTCTTTCTCTGGTGATGAAAAATCATTCTTACTTTAGAAAACAAAAGAAAGCTGGTTTTAAAAGATCTCTTCTCTGTTGTGTAAACACAATGAGGAAAAATCTGTCCTTTATGGATAAGTGACTAACTCGTTCTAAAGTTATATTTCAAGAAAGTGAAACAAAACCATTGAATGGTATTACATTTTAAAGATATTTATTGAAATAGTACATTATATGATGACATTTTATAGCTAGTTCATATTATATGAACCGCATTATAATGTTCCACAATGGAGAGTGTCTCTTACTCAGCGCTGTCAGACTAGAAAAAAAGAAGAAAAAAAATGAATCAGTATAAGATGCAAACATTAAGGTAGACAGTTTTCTCTCAGAAAGAAAAAGATAAAATATTTATCAAATAAAAATAGCTCTGCAAATATTCATTAAATTCCAAAGTCAATCATAAAACGATATAGTCAAAGAGCTTGTGTTGATGGTATCATTTTTTTGAGATGTGATCTCACCTTTCCAGTATCACGGCTCTTGGCTCTGAGCTTGTTGACCTGAGACTCAGCGATGTCAGCACGCTCCTGGGCCTCCTCCATCTCATGCTGGACCTTCCTGAGCCTGGACATGTGGGTGTTGGCTTGTTCCTCCTGAAGGTTTTGAGATACCAATTATTTTAGTTTACACAAAATGCCAAATTAAAGCTTGGTAATGTGCTAACTTAAAGGGGGCATTGTTTGGTGGCAGACAATCAGTCATTTCACTTACCGCCTCCTCAGCCTGTCTCTTGTAGGCCTTCACTTTGAGCTGCAATTTGTCCACCAAATCCTGAAGTCTTGCAAGATTCTTTTTGTCCTCCTCGGTCTACATAGATGAACAAAAGATTTGTCAAGACTTATTCCAAATAACACAACAATTAATACAGAGTTAAATAATATTATTTTTTTTGGTTTTAGAGGTACTTAATAAGTGCTTAGAAAACACAGAATGGAATAGTCACCTGGTAGGTCAGCTCCTTAACTCTCCTCTCATATTTGCGGACTCCTTTAACAGCATCGGCTCCACGTCTCTGCTCACCTTCAACTTCAGTCTCCAATTCTCGGACCTGTTTAAAAGGAAACAATTTAATATCACTAATAGTTATTTACACCACGTGGATTTACAGCAGAAATTGTTCATACCCTCTGCTCCAGTTTCTGGAGCTGCTTCTTGCCACCCTTCATGGCGAGGTTCTCAGCCTCATCCAGGCGATGCTGCAGGTCCTTGACTGTAACCTCCAGGTTCTTCTTCATCCTCTCCAGGTGAGCACTGGTATCCTGCTCCTTCTTCAGCTCTTCAGCCATCATGGCAGCCTGAAGAAATGGTTTGTCACCGGTTTTGGGTTAAAACCAGTTAATAAAAAGGGGTTGCAATTAGATCATGTTTGATATTTAGACTGACATCAGTGATAGCCTTTTTGGCCTTCTCCTCAGCGTTTCTGGCTTCCTGAACTGCATCGTCCACCTCACCCTGAACCTGGACCAGATCACTTTCCAACTTCTTCTTGGTGTTCAGAAGGCTGGTGTTCTGAAATTTAATCAGAATGATACAATTTAGAAGTGTGACTTGCATGACTTGGAAAGGCCTGGTTTCTTGTGAATAACTAAAACCCAACCTGAGAGTGCAGCAGTCCAACACGCTCACTGGCATCAACCAACTCCTGCTCGGCCACTTTACGTGATCTCTCTGTTTGCTCCAGAGCGGCTCTCAGCTCCTCAATCTCAGCTACCATCAGACTGTTCCTGCGCTCCACCATGGCCACCTGCTCCTTCATGTCCTCCTGTCCTCTGACAGCATCATCAAGGTGCAGTTGGGCATCCTAACAGCAATATAAATTTGGATGTTAGAATGGTTTTCCTCTAAAATTCTTCTAATTTTTGTTTAATAGAAAACTCACCTTGAGTTGTCCCTGGACATTCCTCAGTTGTTTCTGGGCCTCGGCAGCCTGTCTGTTGGCGTGGCTCAGCTGGATCTCCATCTCGTTCAGGTCTCCCTCCATCTTCTTCTTGACTCTCAGGGCATCATTCCTGCTCCTGACCTCAGCATCCAGAGTGCTCTGCATGGAGTCAATCACCCTCTGGCTGTTTCTCTTGATCTGCTCCATTTCTTCATCCTTCTCTGCCAGCTTCCTGTCAATCTCGCTCTTGACCTGGTTGAGCTCCAGCTGGACGCGGAGAATCTTAGACTCTTCATGCTCCAGGGTGCCCTTGAAAGGTCAAGCATATAACAAGGTTAGATGACAGACATATAAAGGTATGAGAGTATGCATATGTAGATGTATTTTATAAATTGTTGTTCATCTGACGAGAAATGTTTTACCTCAGCTTCTTCCAGTGCAGCCTGAATTTCAGACTTCTCAGTCTCCACAGTCTTTTTAGCTTTCTCCAGCTCATGGATGCTCTTACCAGTCTCACCGATCTGTTCAGTCAGATCTGAGATCTCCTCTGCAATCAAAAGTGAATAAAAAAATGAAGATATATTGTAGAAATCTGCCAAATATAAACTATCAATAGAGGATTGATAACACTAATAGAGGCTGAAGCATAAAAATGATCTGTCTCTTTGGAGTTGCTCAACTCCTTGAATAATCAGGAATTACATACGCTGCAGGTTCTTGTTCTC